TTGCATCCCACTACCCCCCTGAACGTAGAGTGCAGTTCAGATATAGTGATTAAAATAGATGGTGTATGACAACAAACGATATCAATTTGCTTATTGCGCATACTTTCTAATATTGTGAACTTTGCACAACCGTGACTCATAACACATAGCATAGAAAGAAAGTTTCCCTTCTTGCTGAGAGAGAGACCCGAACACAAAGAGTGTGTTTATGTTTTTTGTCCACAAGACATTTAAGGAAATGGGTTTCATGCTCTGTCAAAAAGAAGACTGAGCTGCAGGGAAGCGCATGGTATTTTGTAAAATAATGAACTTTTCAGTGGCAGGATGTGCTGTGAATGCGGCTAGTAGGAGGATGCACTGTTCTGCATGATGTTCCCTCCGTTAACACAAAAACAGAGTGGGAGTTGAGAGTCCTCTATCTACAAAGGAGAACACTACAGTAGAATAGGAAGGATGAAAGCTGTGCTTCATTGTAAGCCAGCTGTTAAAATTATAATATTTTAAATCCTAATGACTAATTGCTAATAATGTAACCATGAAGCAAACCCACTTACAATGTAATTTCGGTCTGGACTGTATTCTAATGAACTCCTCCATATCGCTTCCATAGCCATGAAGGATGTCACAGTTTACCGGGTGGCTGTTCATAGTTTCCAAGGCCTAAAGGACATAAATGCCTGCTTATGCTTTTAGTTAAACTAAAACAGGAATGTAGATTAAACTGTTTATCCAATAAATGTGCCAATTAGGGCTGAAACACTTTATCAGATTAATCATGATTAAGGAACTCTTGTTACCCTGTAATCATCAATTAATCGACATATTAATTGACAGATTCATTGATTAGCAAAATAATCAGTTGCAGCCCTAGTGACCATATCAATTAGAAAAGTTGTCAGTGAGCAAAAAAACAAATTTATTTGCTACAAATGTGTAGGCAAGTCTCAATTCAGGTCATAATCAAAAGGGTAATCTATTACAGTGATTCAAGTTAAGATAAACTTAAACTTCTTTGTTTTTTATAAATATGTTAAGCGTTTATTTGTTAACTGTGATGTTCAATTAAGAAATAAATACTGCTAATGAAAATCCTACACATCTTTCTTTTTTAGAAAATTACAATAACCCATATTAGAAGAATAAGAGACAATATGTTGTGCTACAAATCATAGGAAAGAATGCACCCTGGAGAATTGTATAGGTGTTTAAAGACTGTCTTTATCTCCTTTTTAAAAAAGCTGGCTGTTAAATGCTATAGTCAATGACATGTTAGGTGGAAGGAAATAGGCTTTGTAGAAAAAAAAAGGCACAACCAACAAAGATTAGTGCAGCACAGAGAGGATTGTGAAGCTCACTAGGCATGGCCTGCAGCACTTAAAGAGGCACTGCACAAACATAAGAACAAAAACACTCCTCAGGTTGGGCATTACATAAACCTGAGTTTTATCAGGGGAGAAAATAAAGGATTTGTGGGTTTTTATTAAGTCCAAAGTCAGCCAAGCCATCTACCTGTAACATTATGAGCTCATAATAATTCCCTCAACAAAAAAATCCAGCTAAATCCAGCTACCTATGCGACTTGACTCATTCTACGAATACAACAAAAACCTATAAAAAAAAAAAAAAAAATAGGACAATAGATAGATATCTATGATGTTTTGACAAGTATAAAATGAGCTGAAGGCCAGTATGGAAGCAACCTGGGCCTCCCTAAGCAATACCACAGGCTGTTCATCTTGATGCTACAGCTCCAAACTACTCACAGCATAAACTGTACTGTGGATGGAAACACCTTTAATTAACTCCTTATTTCTGTTTAGAAAGCTATTTTTCTGGGGGTTCACTTTTTTTTTCTGGGGGTTCACTATTAAAATGCTTTAGAGAAACTTCTTTTTAAGCACTAATAATAAAAAAAAACCCAAATATAATGGTAAAAATATATCGTTCTGCAGGATGAACTTCTACAGTTCACTTACAACGATTTATTAAGTGGCAACAGAAGAGATGAGGAGTTCTGAGCTCCTATGTGGAGGCGTGAAACTGTGTGAGCCATGAGGCCCAGCAGTCTCTCACGATGCTGGCCGGCTCAAATTAAGTGTGTCCGGCCGCACAGGAACTACATTAGCAGGGTTTTCTCAGGGTTGGCAAACCCCCAGCCAACACAGTGGCAGTGCAAAGATAGAGATCTGTTTGGAGAGACAGGAGCCAACTGGGGCCTTGCAGCAAAAAAAGCAGCTCAGCTTCTGAAACAGCCAGGAATCAGAAAAAAAAAAAAAAAGTATTTTAGTCAGAACTTCATGCAGGTTAATTATGTACAAACTAACACATCTAATGATTAAAGCTGCAGGTACTTCACAACATTGGAGTTCAACAGTGAAGCCATGTAGGCACTAGCATTCTGTTCTGTTCAAAACGAGTCCAGATAAAACAAAATACGAATAAAGGCAGCTTAGCGAAACAGCCATCAACAGGCTGGTCCTTCTTACTGACATCACACATTCATCAGTTCATGCACCCGTGATCCTTAGGACCCCAGAGAAAACCACCTGCCTGTGTTTGTCCCTGCAAGCAGCTGCTGCACAAAATATGCCACCTGATCCTGCATCATGTTTTAAACCCCCACCCTCCCACAAACACACACACATTATCCTGCTATCTTCACAGGGATTTTGCATTGATTTCCATTCGTTCCATTAATTTCTATGGCCTTATCCAGACATTTTTCCAGAGGATCTAATTCAACCATTTAATTCAGGTGTTTTGCACTGCATAAAATCTAAATCTAAGTAAGTAATTTCTTCTGAAAATGAGTCTGTTTTTTCTTAAATTGGTAAGGTAGGTACACTGCCAAGGGAATCAGACAAATTATATCAAAATAATGAATACATTTTATTTACCTAATATCTCATTTTAATGGTAAAAATTCTCACTGAACTGGCAGATCATCTTATAAACATACTCAATTAAGGGTAAATACACTTATTTTCAGTAAATTATACTCATGTTTAGATTGTTTTTGCAGTGTGGACCAAGAAAGAATCTAAAAGTTGCAGAATATTTGGCCTCAGGAAGTGGAATTGCTCACCCGTGCCCAAAAACTATCCTTAACTCCATTCACACCTTAATCCTAAACCCAACAAGGAAACCCTTCCTCATGGGACAAGTTGACTGGGCCCCAGAAGGTAGCATATTCCTGGGAAATTGGCTTTACTCTGTCCCCACAATATACCAACTACATGGCTACACACACAGACAGACAGATACGCACACGGTGACGTCCTGTTTTGTTGTTGTACCTGAGTGGAAACAATGATGCAGTTTGAACGGACCAGGAGGGTTTGATCTGCTATCTTAGAGAGGGACGGAAAAAAGAAAATCTGCTAGGGGAAAAAGAGGATGGATGTTGATGCAACCTGTTTATGACTATGAAATCAAAGTTATGTTTTAATCACTGAAATGAGATTTGATTTATGTTCACTGTGCATTAGAAGCA